CACAATTTCTTTCTCTGGCCCAGAATGTAAAAGGCCACAAGCCACTCAGAAAAACTCTGCTGGATGACACTGAGAAGATGCAATGCTGGTGGAAAAGAACTGCCTCTTTGCCACCCTCGCTGCCACACAGTAGTCTCTAATCCATGTTCGACGGGAGTCAGCATGAATTTTCTTCCACCTGTGCTCTAGCCTCCTCCCCCTTGCTTCCTTGCCCACAACTCAGCTGTGTACCAAGAAGCTGGTCAAGCTCTGTTCAAGGGGAGAGGGTGCTTGGATGAAATCATGTCAACCACCCAAGTTATCTCTGCATTCCACAGAGCAACCTGGGCTTCAACATATAAGTACCTCTAGACAGACATCTAACCATTCAAAGGTATTACACGAGTAACCCATCCTTTGTTCTTAATAGAACTTCTGTGGCAAGAAAGGAAAGTGGTAGGAAACGCCTTACATCCCTTGAAGGAAAGATAGGTAAGGGAGGTTGGCAGCCATACAACACGCCTTCTGCAAAAACAGGTCCTGCCAGACAAACCTGGTGGAATTCTATGAGAAGGTTTTGAGGTGGCTAGAAGGTGGTGTGGTTTACCTGGATTTCAGCAAGGCCTTTGACAAATTGCCACATGATATCCTGGTTGAGAAACTGAAGAGTTTTGGGATAGACCACTGCACTGTCTAATGGATTAGGGCATGGTTGATGGACAGAAAGCAGAGGGTAACTATTAGTGGGGAATCATCGGGATGGCGGCCAGTGACAAGTGGGGTCCTATAGGGCTCTGTCCTGGGACCAATCCTGTTAAGGTTCCTTCTTCTAGCAGCAGCTTACCACCCCTTTGAAAAGATTGTGAGATATTCCAGAATAGTTTCTCATGGTGTGTAACCAGTTGCTTCTGGAAAATAGATAACTCTAGTGCATGCATGGAAGCACTTTAGGCACATGCTTCTCTGGATCCAAGCCAAGTTCAAGACTTGGGCTGTGTGTATCACAAAAATACTTTTGCCACTTTTCATGTTATTGGTACTTTAGCTAAAGCTAATCCATATGAAGAATTGGACATTGCTTCCAATAATGTCAAGTACATCTTGAATAAGCAGTGAGAATTTTGATGGAAATTAGCCATAAACACTGATGTCATTCCTACTGATGTCATTCCTAACTTGAGTCATGCTTCCATGGCAGGGCTCTGAGCCAGTCCGCAGCATGAAGAGGCAGGCTGCAAAGCACAGTGTAAAGATGGCTGCTTATGCATCACCTGAAAAGAAGACAAGCCTGGATGCGGATTCATATTAAGTTTGCTATGATAATTTGTACATATAAATGCAATTTTTTTAAAAAAATCACTAAAATAGAAATAAAATACACCTCACCATGGTGGGGAACATAGTGACCAGATAATGTGTCTGCTGAGTCTCCTGTTCCAGTGTTAACTGTAGGTGGGTAACCTGTAGGCTCCTGTTCTCCTTCTTATGGTTCTTTCTCTTGAAGGCAAACTTGACTCTGGGGCCTCTTTGGAAGAGAACTCCTTCAGACAGAGGACTGTTGTCTCTAAGATAGCTACCTGTACTTCTCCTATTAATTCCAGAGTCTAAGGTTACCTAACTGGAGTGCTGCATACTTGCCTCCAATTTCCTGCAATTACAATTTGACTAGGCAGAAGTTAAAAAGACTAATACAAACAGAACTGGGCGGAAAGAGAAATCTTGTGGCGTTAAGAGTAATTCAGTTATAAACACCTGTTGCTTGGCAGTGCAAGAGTTCTAAGAACCAATGTCATTAGAGTGCAATGAAAAAAAGATGGTGGCCACTTTTGAGCATATTTCCTACATTCATTTAGAAAGAGATCCGTAACATAAATAAGAAGTGTGACCTTCCAGTTTTGCAAACTTGCTCCATGATTCTGCACAGCACTCCTAGTGCCGCACCATGCCAGCTGCCTCCTCTAGAGTCACCACCCGTGGGTCAGATTTAGTAGCTTACTTGATCCCTTAAAAGCAGAGGAGCTCCACAGTGGGTAACCATCAAATACAGGCTGTTGCAGGATTTTGTTTCTGAGGCCCAGATATTTTCCTTTCAGACAATACTCTGTGTACGCACTTAAATGACAAAAAGGACAAAAGTAAGCTTGGAAATAAGTGAGCCCACAATTAAGATAAATGAGCTGAGGTTACATCATTGTTTGAGTTTTACTGTTAAATCTGCATGATGTGCAGAGTAAATGAAGCAGGCGAAAGCTGATTTACGGTGCCAATGTTATCTTCCCAACCAGAAAGGGACCAACATTTTATGCTTAAAAAAACAATAGTTGGTCCCTGTGAGCTGAGAAAATCTCTGGAATCTATAGCCAGTGGACAGCAGTTGCACTCTGGAATGGGGGAAGCTTTATGGATGTCACTTTAAAGTGTAAATAGTGCAGTTTTATGTACATATGCAGAAGGACAAAAACCTTATGGCCCTGTTTATTTATAATAAACCTTATAATACGTTCCGTAATTCTTATTTAAACAACCAGATGACAGAATCTCAGAATCAAAAGGGGTCTCATGCATGCAATACTCTGCAAAGGGTCTGATGAAAATGTCAAGGAAGGAAGGAGAATATGAGTCTTTTTCCAACTCTGTTGCCCTGTTACTCCCCTTTTCTTTCATGGTTTCTAAAAGAAAGGAAAGGGATTCATGAAATAAGTTTTAAACATTATCTACTTTTAACTCACACACACATATATAGTGATATCTCATAATTTTAGAGATTTTTTAAAGTCTTGCTTCACTCTTCAAGTTTTCCCAGAGCAATTTCAGCACAGGCAATATATGAAATTAATGTAGTATTTGGTTAGACTGATGGATTGCTTTTTTACAAATAAAGTCTTTCACTTAATTAGTCATGCTAACCCATCATTAAGACAGCCTTTATCAGCAAGCAAACAAATAGTGATTCAAATAAAAATGCAGCACAGTTGGGTGTACTCTATATAAAGGATCTGTTAGAAGAACACTTATAGTAGATGAACGCATCAACTGGGGGATTTCATTGATGCTAAGCCCCTGGTTGAGAATGGTTTATGATGTTCGTGTCTCCTGGATAACTGCAGGTCTGTTTCAGTATGTATCTGGCACCACTCCTATGGCAGAGCATATTCTGGATGGGGTATGTTGTGCTGGGAAATTGATGTGGTTCCCTGACCATTGACATTACCTGCTTGATATTATTTAGGCTTACCAGGTTCCCTATGCTCTGCTGAAATGGGGCTTTCTGAAAATGATTGCCCCTGAAGAGCAATGGCTCCAGGTGGTTTTCTCATGGCTTTGCAAGAGTTCCCAGCTTTGGACAGGCTGTTGTAGGGCCTCCCCCATGGTGGTGATGGCTGCAATGAAATCTTACCTTTCACAGCCAGTGCATGAAAGCAGAGTCATCCTATGGAATGTTTCCCAGTGCCCTCTTGCATCTTGGCTAGCTTCATATTTAGGCAGAAACTTTTAATCTTCCTTTGTAAAACATTGCACACTCTTTTCATGTGTTATTTTCAGAAATGTATATTTTATACACACAAATACACTTTCATAAATGCAATTTTCAACTTAGATAATCTTTTACATGTTTGTATTTTTCCTTTTTCCTAATGCTGAATATTATCCTACACGACCCACTGTCTGTCTTGCAACCTGGGATTTGACCTCAGTTTCGTTAGGGACTAATATATGTGTGAATGACATTTTGTGGTCAACAGTGATCTCACAGTTTAATGCTAGATGATGCTAGGTTAATAAAGTTAATCACCAGACTTTGAAACTGTTAGGTTAGATGATTCCAGTTGCCCTTAATGAACTCCAAGTATTTTGGGCCACTGTAGCATCTTTGCAAAAGGATACCATTTCCCATATTCAGCCAAGTTGAACTATCTGTACCTTTTGTTCAGTAAATAGGGACATAACGGGGCTACTTTAGTGTATTGCCGGCCCCTCTAGTGAAGAGATTTGGTGGCCTCCTGTCTGGAAGGGAGACAAAGGATTATCCAGAGTCCCTATTCCATCCACCCTCTTAAAAGCCAGCCTGCAAACACCATGCCAGCTGCTTCTCTGAGGTTGAAAACTGGCCAGGAGGGCTAAAGGGGTGTGCCAGAGCAGCAGGAAGGAGAGGAAGCCAGGGCTGATGGCTTCTGCTCTAACCAAACTGCACGTCAGCCACCTTCCCTTCAACTGCATGGTGTTTCATCTAGGTGGCTGAAAAGGGCACGATCCTATGCGTGTAGGTAGAAAAAAGTGAGGGGTTTGTGATTTAAACACTGTTGGGGCAAACTTGGAAACGGGTTGAAACTCTGATGCACACTGAAAACTGTCACTGCACCAGATGCACAGTAATCTCAGACTTGCTTTTGGAACCCATATTTAATTGGATGAAGAGAAGCAGGGTTAGGGTTAGGGTTCGGCTGTGTATAGACAAGATGGCATAAGGAGTAGCTTCTGGGTTCTGGAGAAGGAAGGGGATCCATCCCCTCCTCGGGTAAGCAGGTATGTTAGGATTCTGTTGAATATCTCTTAACTGCTGGATTCCTAAGCTAGCAACTCATCTTCACCCACTGAACTTGATAGCGGAATGAGAATTTGCACCTGTTTTCCTATATCCAAGCTCAGCATTGCACTGTGTGTCCCACATTGTTATTTAGGGTGCAACACTGTGCATTTTTAGACGGGTAGGTGCCCTACAACTCCTAGCATTCACCAGTCATCGTGCTACTGGAGATTGCTAAGAACTGAAGGGATCTTTTTTTCTCTTTATCAAAACATGCACAGCATTGCACCCTTTCCTGCATTTCAGTAACTTATTTCTCAGGGGTGTTTTTTTACTGGCCATAAGAAGTCTTTGTTTACACAGCAATACTGATGATCAATGGATTTCCTAAGGAGTAAGAGAATTTGTATTCCTTTTAAATGATAGAGGTAAAATATATAATTTAAAACTATGATTGTGATTAATTGATAATTCTGTTCTTTTTTTTTTTACCCAGGAATCCTTGAATGTTATTGATCCTGGCTTAATGGAGCTAAATGGCACAAGTGAAGATGCACTAGAATGGGATGAAATGGATATAAGTAATAAGTTAATTAGCATTAATGAGGAATTCAATGAGCTTGATCAAGAACCAAAGCAGGATGACACAAAGCTGAACTCTCTATCTGAAGCATGTGCCAATGACAGTCCAGAACAAGAGGCAAATACTACTATTCATGGAAACTGTCTAAGCAGCCCAAGAATTACAGCATCTCCAGGCCCTCAAATCTACCAGGTTTACAGCATCCACAATGTAGAATTATCAGGAAATGATCATATCTCTGTCTTGAAAAAGGCATCTCCGGCTCCTGGTCTTATACACCCAGCCATTGTAAACAAACAAATGAATGAAGACTCATCAATGTTGCCCGCCAAAGATTTGTCAGACCTAGTGGGTAGCACCACCTTGGCAATGCCACAGAATTATATGTATCATAGTGGAAACATAAACAGGCATTCAGAGAGTCAGAATAAAATAGCTAGCGGTAGTGAGCCAGAATCAATCAATAATTCCAAAACCCATTTGCCAAGCGATACTGATGGGATCCAGGATAATTCTATAACTATTACCTCAGATTCCAAGTTAGGAGATATAGTTGATGTGATAAAGCAAAAAGTTAAACAGGAGAACGAGGAGACCAATGTTAACTTCTTAAATACATCTCCATTAAACTCTAGTAACAAAGCTAAAACTCTGGGCAGTACTACCCAACATCGCCCTGAGAATTCAGAAGAGTTACAAGGAAAACAAAACAGCTTTACATTTTATGATTATTCCTTTCTTCAGGGTTCAAAATTCAAGCTACCAATGATCATGAAGCAAGCAAACTCAGGAAAAGCACACAAGCAGGGCAGTTTGCTTCATGGCTTTTATTTTGATAAAGTCCCCTTATCTGAACCTCAGCCTGTAGTGTTAAAAGCACATGGGTCTACAGATGAGATTGCTATACCCACTGCCTTGGATGATACAGATCCCAAGCACGGTGAATTTGCAGATCTGAAGAAACTAAATGACACCACCAATGCAAAACCGCTTTCCACTTTATCTCATAGCTCTTCTTTAGACTCCCTTTCTGTAACTAGTGACTTGTTTGGCCCAACTGTTTTTAGAAGTGGAGAAGGTCTCCAGCGTAGCACTTCCTTGGAGAATTGGTTGGCTCCCTACAAAGGCAATGAAGATCTTTTTAGTTGCAATGGCTCTGGAGACCTAAGTGGAAGTAGTGAGTCTGTTGGTGAACTTAGTAAAAGGACGTTAGACCTTTTGAATCGTTTAGAAAACATCCAGAGTCCTTTAGATCAAAAAATAAAGCGTAGCATCTCTGACATCACACTCCAGAGCACTTCCCAAAGGATGTCCTTGACTGGCCAGTTGTCACTGGATATTGCATCCTCTATTAATGAAGATTCACCTGCCTCCCTCACTGAGCTAAGCAGCAGCGATGACCTGTCTCTGTGCTCTGAAGATATTGTATTGCACAGAAATAAAGTACCAGATTCAAATGCATCATTCAGAAAACACCTCAATCGGTCGGTAGCTGATGAGAGCGATGTCAACGTTAGCATGATTGTTAATGTTTCCTGTACCTCCGCTTGCACTGATGATGAAGATGATAGTGATTTGCTATCAAGTTCTACCCTCACCCTGACTGAGGAAGAGCTGGGCATTAAAGATGAAGATGATGATTCCAGTATTGCAACTGATGAGGATATTTATGAAGACTGCAATTTAATTTCAGGACTCGACTACATAAAGAATGAACTCCACACTTGGATAAGACCAAAATTTTATCTGTCAAAGGAAAAAAGAAAGTGCACCCTGGATGATGAAATCCAGGGCTGTAAGAATTTAAGAAGTGATGAGACTTTGAAAGCAAAAGAGTCTTTGAATATTGAGAAAATTTTGAATGATTCTATACATCAACTTTCAGAAAATAATGGCAATAGTAAGAACAAAGCAGATAGCCATGAGCCAGGGACAAGGCAGCAAACTAAAACTGATGGTTTTCAGGTTTCCAAAGATCACTTGGTGGATGACATGGAGAATGGAAATGTTGCCATTACTCAAGAAAGTCCAAAGGAAGACTGTGCTCAGATCTCAAGTCCTGCCACGAATGTTAGCACACTGGGTGGTAAAGGACGTGAAAGTGAGTGTTGTATCTGTGAAACATTCACTGATGGTAAGGAGTCTATTCAACCATCAAATTTAACTGGTTCTCCAAAAGGCTATCAGAAACATTCTGAATTTGAGGGTTATTGTATTAAAAAACCTTTTACTGAATTCAAATCAGATAAAAAAGGTGCAAATACACCAAATACAGCCTTACTACCATCACTGCTGAATGATCAACAAAGCAGTGCAGGAATTAGTGAACATGGTAGTGATTGCTGCGCATCTTTTAAATCTAATAAAGCAGAAGGAAATGCCTTAGCCAGCAGCAGTGATTCGTGTTGTAACTGTGAAGCTGTTACTTCTGATAAAAGAAATGGGGAAGATTGCTCAGTACACAATTTTGTGATGGAGATCATAGATATGGCCTCAACAGCCCTGAAGAAGAAGTCGCAGCCTGAAAGTGAGTCAGCTGTTCCACATTCATTAGCACAGATCAGGGAAAAGGTTCTAGAGCATTCTCACAGGCCAATTCAACTGAGAAAGGGAGACTTTTATTCTTACCTCTCACTTTCTTCTCATGATAGTGACTGTGGGGAAGTAACAAAATATGTTGAAGAAAAGAGCAGTACTCCAGTTCCACTAGACTTTGCAGAAAACATTGAGTGCTTTTTTGAAGCCTGTCCTGAAGAGGAGCGTGTTGAACAGCAAGTATATGTTGCTAATGAAGATGCTGAAGTACCTCTAGTAAAATATGAAGGTCTGGATTTAATAGATGAACATAAAACATCTGCTAATTGTAGTGGTGTTTCTTTTTTAAGTGTGGAGATGGATGTAAATATGCCTGGCTCAATTACCCAGATGGTACCTGATAATTTAAAAAAACCTGCTAGTGAACCTTTGGTCTTGGACATTCCTAGTGATTGTCCAGTATCGAATTCCCTCCCAAATCAATCTAAAGAAAACAATTCAGGACTGCCACTCAGGATTGCAAAGTCTGAAGAAGATTTAGCCTCTTCTCTAAAGGCCTCAGTTGAAGCCATTCAGTTAAAGCCAGATCCCTTGAAAGAGAAGGAAGTTTTGCACCAGGACACTAAAACTCTTGTATGTGAAGAAAACCTCCTGCATCTTCACAAAGAAAGGCACATAAATATGCAGAGGTAGATGCAATCTTTCCTGGAAACACACGTTATTTCATAAACAGGTAGGTACTGAATGCTGTGAGGGTGAGATGAAGCAAAATGTGGCATTGCCTTTGAGAGTTTTCAGTACATCACGTGATTGTGTCTCTTGAATTTAATTACAGATGCAGCATCCATTTCAGACCTGTTTTTTCTTTACTTTTAGACTCAGGTATAGATATAAAAGTGCAAAATGTGTGTCTTTTGTTTTCATTTTTCAACAGCTAGGAATAACTGATTTTATTTTGTTAAGATGCATGAAAGTTAGAATTGATCCTTACCTGATTATTTATAATGCCTGTTTCTCTGCCAAAAGAAATGAGTTAAAGACCGTTCTCACTGATGCCTTCATTTTGTATTCAGATATCTGTACTTAAGTCCAACTGTGATGTTGTTGGTGTCTGTGCCAACATGAGCTTCCTATTCAGTGCAGTGGAAGTGCTGTGTATTATGTACCTTTGTCCAAAGAGAGCTGCTCTCTAAACTGAATTTAATTATGATTCCCATATGTACATGAAGTCCATAAGGTCATTGCTGTGAAGTCCCAGGTCAGAACATTGTTTATGTCAACAGAGTGAGAAGAAAATGTGTGCTTCAGACTATGGGATCTGTGTTTTCACCTAATTCTAGGGATCCCTTCCCCCACTGTAAGAGCTTAGTTGATACTTTAACTTCATCTCTCATGCTATGGGAAATGAATTAGAGGCAATCTTTCCTAATTTGTTAACTTATTCAAATAACAGTTATTATACTTAACTATGCTAAAGATTATCTTTTTGGTGGCAGATTGTTTATTTTTTTGATGAGCCTAATTACTGATTTTCCAAAGGTAATTTACATTTATTACTAATACATCTCTTAAAATGTGACAGATAAATGTTGTTCCCATAAGTGTATTATGAAAAAAGTTACTATTTAAAAACACATTATTTAATTTGAAAGATAAATGGCAAACACCATTATTTTTTTTCCTGGAGCACCTGTGCTGTAAGCTCATTAAAATGTGTGATTTTATGTGGAGCTGTGATACTTAAGAGAAAAATTATCTATGGTATATGTATACCCTAAAAATAAACTCAGTTCGCAAAGGTGACAGTATGCATATTTACTAACGTATCTCTACTAATTTCATATGATTTCTTCTCCAGCTGCAAGTCAGAATAAAGCTGTTGTGAGCAAATCTATTTTGCTGCTGAATGTACCTAAGCTGTAATCTCATTCTTTTATCAGTGTGGTATAAAATTGACCATTAAAGGAGAGTAATAGCCATTCTATCAGGAACGTCAGAAAGTTCTGCCGAGGAGTGATGATTTCAACTTCTCACTGAACGTGTTGCTAATTGGCAGACATACCTTCATAGTGTGCACTTCTGTTTCTCTATGGGAATAAATGCTTGTAGAGAATAACACAAAACAGCACTCATGCTTTCACTGTTGCCATCATTGTCACCATGAAACAGAACCTCCTCCACCTGTAGATCTTTATTTTCAGGAGCACAGGGAACTGCCCTATACCAGTTCAGCTGAGGCCTTCATCTAGCCTGGTCTCATCTGCACTGACTGATAGAAGCCCTCTAAGGTCTTAGGAAAGGTCCTACTCATCAGATGCTACCATATCCTTTTAATGGAATATGCCGGGGCTGAACTGGGGACCTCCTACAAAGAGGCATGTGTCCCACAGTGAGCTGTGCCCTCTCCCTAAGGGTACCACCTCCCCAGCTTTTGTAACAGGGCTAGTCAGCTGCCATTTGTGCATTTAGACTCCAACCGTGAAGGTGGCCAACATGCAGAATTCTGATTCCACTCTACTGGCTCATTGATGTCAATATGAATTTAGTGTATACAGTTTTTATTACTAGTATTATTAGGTCACAGAGCAGCAAATAGATCCTGAACTAATTTAAACAGAATAGGTACTAATCATCTATATTTCCTTATATTGGGTTAAATCCAGCATTGTGCCAATGGAAGTTCACAAGTACAATGTAACTTTTTCACACTTGTGGCCCTCTGTGCTGCCTGAAAATTTGCACAAATTTGGAGATTTCCTAGTGAGGGGCTGCAGAGGGAGTGGAAATCACCCTCCAGATTCATGGGCACACTGATGAAACAGCTTTTTTCAGCAAAATGACATCCAGATATAACCCGGTATGCAGGGATGCACGTGTCCATTTGAAATGCAGTCTGAAAGTGAGGTTTTTTAAACAGTTAAAGCCAACTTCAAATTGTAGATTGGCTCAGACTGCAATAACGTATAAAGTTCTTTCTCAAACCACATGCCTGCACTTTTTATGATTTTGTGCAAACATCATTTTCTATCCCCCCCCTCCAAAAATAAAAAATAAAAAAATAGAAATGTCAGTTACAGCAAATAAGATCAAAGGAGAAGGTAACTGGATAGATCCAGCTATTTCCACTTAATTTGGAAGGTATATAATGCAACCCCAGAATGCCTCCTAGGAAATGCTTGAGAGGGATACTTTGTACTAATCTCTTAGCTGTATTCTGTCAGTTATTTCGTCATAATCCTCATCATAAGCTTCAACCCTTTGTTGCATAGGCTAACCCTAAATTCCAGGCCAAGAAATTTTTGTATCATAAAAAACAATTCCTTGGTCCCAATAAGAAATATATTTTAATGCCCTGGTAAATGCAATCTCTTGTATTTTTGGATTATTGGTGAGAGTTTTTTCACCTTTTCATTTTATTCTTAAGGAGAGTATCAATGATACTTAAATAGGTTATGGCTCTGTTTATGCAACCTGTGTAACCTATTTACACCCCAAGCCTAAGTAGATTACTTGGAAGTAAGTTCCCCTGATTTTAATGGGACTTACTTTCATGTAATGGGTTTAGGACTGGAGATTATATTGGTTGGTTGGCCTTTATTGAGTCATGCATTCCTATTGATTGGTACACTTTCAAAAGGTAGAGAAGGTAAGTTCACAGGCACCTGAACGGACGGGATTGAGGAAAAGGTCAAACTTGATTATTTCCCCTGTGCCTTTTGAAACTAAATCTTGTTTTATAAAAATCAATGAGGTTTCCACATCAATAAAAAGATACCTCCTCTGATAGTGGCTTAAACCCCCAGGTTATGAAAAATTGTTGCTCCTATACAGTCATTTTGCATATAAAGATGCTGACATGAGATCATAGAATAGCTATTTTTGGTTCGTCTGGAAAAGCTTGCGTTTTGCAAATGAAAATGTACTTTACGTAACATGCTATTACTTTTTCTTTCCTTTTAGAAACTTGGCTGCATTTCAGGTGCAGGCTTATCCTCCAAACCCCGGGATGACCTCTAATTCCATTGTATCACTGCCTTTTGTTACACTTGACTCCCAAGATAAATTTTCTTTCCAAATGTGATTTGTCCATTTTGGCTTTGTGACCAGGATGCATATGCTGGTCCTGTTTCAATTATCATTTTGCTTTGTAGCAAAATCATTTGCTTTCATAGGAATTTCTCTCCCAAGCTACCTCTTAACACCCTACCCTTCCAAAATGGTATGCCTCTGTATGCCTTCTCACCCACTACATTTTTTTAATGATTTTGCAATGCCACAGAATATATTATTATTCTCGACCACCATTCAGAACTGTAAATGTCATTCTTCTATTTTGTGTATCAAATTTGGTATTTTATGTGTATAATGCATATTGTTTACTGAAAGTATTTTATGTTTAGAATGAAAATTTTATTTGATTGCAGCGAAAGGAAAAGAACTGCTCCTGAATCCACATAAATGAAGTTATACAAAACAGATACAAAATTATCCTTTTGTTTTAAAAGAATCTATGCAGCACTTCAAGAAACAGCTACACAGTGTTGTATATTAAGAACTGTTAACATTCTACCAAATTAAGTACAACATTTTGGTTTTCTACTATGCTTCTTGAGGTGGTAATCACAAAACAATCCCACATTTTTAAAAATTGTGCCTTGCTGTATTTCTTATACCATTTATTAAAAAGCTGCTTTCACAGTAAAATTATGTTGGTTTGAAGGAAGGAAATAGCAAGGTGTGAATAATTTCTGTATATATGTATAACCAAGTGCAAACATTGATGTATAATGACAGTATAAAATGCTTTAATGTTTGTGATGCCCAGTGGTGTGTAAAACATAAGCCTTAAAACCACTAGATTGCATGATAATTAGAATTGGCATAATAAATGTAGTTTACTGGGGGGAAAAAAACAGAACTGGCTCTCATTTACCTGCATCATGATTTAATAAACATCTCCATACTTATAACCTCTGGACAGGTTCTGTGTAGGATTGTACAGGTGTACAGGAGCAACTGTGTTTATATGCAATGCAGATGAAGATTTGCCCAGAACAACATACCGTTAAATTTCAAAAATATTGTTTTAAAATATACATATAATAGAAGCTAGAGATTGGTGAAATTGGTGAAAATACTGCCATGCTCAGGTTATGTCCTAGCTCAACTACTTCCAGCAGGACAATAAGAAAACTTATACTGGCCTCCAACTTTACCTTATTCTAATTCATCTCCTAACCGTTAAGAATCCCATTTGAAGATGCAGCGTTCCAGTCACCAGCAGAAGCCTCCTTCCTTCCTTCCTTCCTTCCTTCCTTCCTTCCTTCCTTCCTTCCTTCCTTCCTTCCTTTTCTTTCTTTCATTCATTTGCTCCATATCCTGCCTTTTTCTTTTTTAAAGAATTCAAGGTGGCTTACATTATTCTACTCCTGCTGCTCTCTTATCCCCACAGCAATAACCCTGTGAGGAAGGTTGGGTTTAGAGTCTGTGACTGGCTCCATGGCTGAGTGGGGACTAGAACCCAGACTGCCTGAATCTCAGCCCCATCCTCTTAAGCACTGCACCATACATGCTGTCCACAAATAGAACCTTGAGAACTACTTCTGGGTCTGGGAGGTTGAGAGAGGATCCATCAGGATTCCAGTTCTAGTCCATCCCATTTGTTGGTCAGTCAAACCACACATCTGTCCTACACCCCACCATATCTGCTGACAACTGCCAGCACTCCGTCATCATAAGGTTCAGACCTGAAATGTATTCCCCTTTTCCAGTCTCACAGTGTCATTGTTGTAAGGATAAAAATGGAACTATGGAAGGTACCTTGGGTTCCTCACAAGAGGAAAAAGGCAGGGTATAATGCAAAATTACAATAACCTGAATTAGCAAATGACTTTTTACGATTATAGCCCCCATGCCACTTATGTATCACCAAAGAGTGAGAGAACAGATCTGCAATAAATTTACATGTGCAAATGTATATTTATAAGTACAAATTTAGAAATAATTGGTATATTGTTAATAGAAATACAATACAATTCACCAGACTGGGGAAGACCAAGACCTATCTGCTGGCATTAGGTGCTAAATGTCAATGAGCAACTTTACGCAACTTTAAGGACCTTGCTCTCACTTCTTATGACTCTAGACTAGACAGCTCTCCAAATGAAGATACCTTAATTTGGACTAGACAGCTCTCCAAATGAAGATACCTTAATTTGGACTAGACAGCTCTCCAAATGAAGATAGCTTCAAATGGAGGACTGTCCTGTGTAAACTAGGACAGATGATTTCAACAAATACAAAGCACCTCTTTTCTCACAGAAGCTAAGTTCCATTCCCACTGAAGACATTTCTACTGTGGATGACAGAAATGTTGGCAGCTTCTTATACCCATTAAACCAATTGGTACAGGAAAAATTTGCAGAAGCCCATGACTCGTTGCATTCTTGGTGCACTGAATTAATAGGCACAAAGCAGAAATTCAGAGGTGTAAGCATAGTCACAAAGACTTGTAATTCTGTCTGCCTTTATTCTTTAAGTACTGTTTCAAAAATTGTCTACATGGACAGCATTTCTATATATGAAAATGTATGCAAAACACATAGATGCATCTCTCACATATGCCTCTATTGCATATACATGCTGAGACATATATGCATGCATGACTGGAAAGTCTGGACCAAATTTAAGCCAAATTATTTGTGAGAACAATACATTTTTTTCTGAAATGGCTTCAAGTGGCCATTCCAACTGTAATTTACATATGCAACTGGAAACAATGTTTCAACCCATCTTGAGTACATATATATTGGAAAGTCAGCACGAGCATAGTTTATTCCACATATATATTCTATCCACTTACTCATAATTCATACTAAAGACATCAGTCAGTATTTTGAAGAAACATTGAACCATAGAATACTTATGTGACAAAGTAGATGAAAACAATGGAAGCTGCTTTATGCCAGGTTAGACTATGTGTCCATCTACTCCAATATTTTCTGCTCTGACTGGCAGCAGCTTTCCATGATCATTTTCACCACTTGATAAAAAGATGCTGCGGATTGAGTCTGGTACTTTCTCCATGAAAAGCAGATGTTCTGCCAAGTCCCATGGAACATCATCAAGGCATTAACCAGGGTAAACTGGCCAGACTGAATCTCACTCACCTTCAATGCTGCAACTGAAGAGGCACCAGAGCAAAGGAGAAAGTCAAGAAAGCTCTTGTCCATAGGGAAAGTGCCACTTTCAGTCTACTTCATTAGAAGCTAACTTACACTGGAGGAAAGCACTGGCCCAACTGGTCCAATGGCTCCCCAAAGTTGAAGGCAAGATTCTTTTCTAGCTTGATTTGGAGATGCCAGAGCTGGAACATGGTACCATTTGCATGGAAATCATGCCTTCTAGCAGTGAGCTGCAACCCTATTGAGGAGTCCTGAGGAGAGATAAATTTCCATACCTGAGGAAACAGAATGCAGTGCCTCACTGAGATGGGGAATATACTTTCCATGTGCTTAGATCTCTTTTCTTTGCTATTAGGTGAAATGATGCCATACTGAATCCTGGCCTTTACAACAGTTCTAGGACAGAGCTCTGCCTCATGTTAAGCCCAATGGGACTTATCTGGACAATACAACAGTCCCTTTCCCAGACAATTTGCTATTTGGTATGGAATGCAACTTTGAGTTAGGAAGCATCTACATATGCTTTTAATATAAAATAAAACAGGTCTTATTTTTTCTTCACATATGGTAAATAACTGGCACCATCAGATAATCCATTACAAAAAATACCTTGCATTGTAATTGCCTTAGTAGCTTGATCAAATGTGTTCTAAACTTTGTACCATAAGATAGTTGCATCTAGGCCACAGTGCATCACATTTAACATGGCAAACAGAACAGAAGACATGAATTTTTCAGCAACTGACATTGTGGCAGGAATGAAAGATTGCTCCTTTAGTTCCCTTAAATTGCTACATTCATGCCAGTCCCAACTGATTGGTGGTGTTTTTGGCAAGGTCTCACTAGAGATAGCTTTTAGAAGTATTCCCTTCATACATGGGGGTTTGTTTTCATGTGCTAATCTGATTACAAAAGAATATTTTCTCTGTGCTCTTGTCTGCCCTGATTTTTCTTTTAGTTTGGTTTTTAAAGGCTTTTTGGAACCATGAATTGCTATGGCACAGTTTTACATCTTTGAATACAATGGTGGACACAATTCCTTACCTCAGAAATTGAGCTATAGTAAAATGAGAGAGCCCTTGTAAGTTTCAGCCATTGGCTGTTAAAACTGTTTTGCTTTTTGTAATTGAATTCAAAGGTACACCCTGGCCCTTACATCACAGATGACTTCTGATGCCTAGTTGTTTAGCTGTGGCACAAAGGGTCATAAGATTCCAAAGCTGAGTGAGCCCAAAATGAGGCCCAAACAAATGTGTATGTGTGTCATATTTGGGGTTTTTTTTATCCCAGACTAGCCAAAAATGCTCCCAGAGTGGCCTTCAGTCAAGTAGTGAGTCAGTCAGTCACGAGATTTTATTGCATATAATGATAAGCTGCTACAGTTTTCTAACAACACAAACAGATTCATCTATCAGCCCCAGTGTGCAAGCTTACAGTCTGAAAAAACAGTTGGGGAGGGAAGAAGAAAACTTAAGCATGGTTGTGCTTTCCCACTCCTCTCCATGGGCACCAGGGAAATCCAGCTGGGGAAGGCCCTGATATTCCTTTTGCCTGTTTATGTCTCACTTTTTCCTTCATCTTCAACCTTTCCCTCATAGACACTTTTTTCTTTAAAAGAGCTGCAGCTCCTTTAAGCTCCCTCCCTCAGTGTTGCTGCCCACTGTTTTAAATCTTTGAATACAATGGTGGACACAATTCCTTACCTCAAAAATTGAGCTATGCTAAAATGGAAGAGGCGTTGTAAGTTTCAGCTGTTGGATGTTAAATTTGTTTTGTTTTTGGTAAATATGACTAGGGCAGCAACACTGAGGGAGGGAACAACTGGCTTTCGCAGTCCATTCTCAGCAGAATTTATCCTAGCTAAATATATGTACATATGTATTTAACAACTCACCTTCCTGCTGAGGATGGCTAATAATAATAAAACACAGATAAAAATATCTTAGTTAAAACATAGTATAAAACAGACCTATTAAAGCACAATTAAATGACAACAAAAGAAATAAACATCCCACACCTGTCAGCATCAGAGTAGGGTTCTATGCCAATGTGTGTTAAAAATGTGTTTCCCTAAATCTCTCTCTCTCTCTCTCTCTCTCTCTCTCACACACACACACACACACACACACACACACACACACACACACACGGTACTATCAGTTCCTTGAGGGCAGGAGAGTTCAGATGCTACTGATGCCTTTATTTACCTCCAGAACATTTGAAGCCACTGTCATGACAAACAGCAAAATCATTAGTGCTGGGCTGAGGTATTTGGCCTGGCATTTTAAAAATCACATTCAGAGTGGGGCTGATCACCCTTGCAAAAGTTCAGAGTGGACCCTGGAGGTTTGCAGGTAGGAAGCACTTAGAAGGCATGGATCTTTTCCTTGTTCAAAATGTAGGACATACCTGGCTGGCCGGCATTAAGCCCTGGCCAGCTGGTCACATCCTCAAGTGTTATCAGTGCACATGGAGCCTCCATTTGGTCAGGGATTAAGAGGAATCCCTCTCCAGAGCTCCCAGTCCAGCCTCCCAGGTAAGCATGGGAGCCACCTGTATTCAAATGTGCCAATCAGCAATTGCAGTGGAATTTTCAACCCAGTAAGCAGCTGTCATCGCTACCTGGTCAGCAGGGGTATAAAAGGGTACTCTGTCATGTGCTCGGGGTTGATTACCATTTCTCTGTGATCCAACTTTATTCTCAAGAATAAAATGCAGTTTTGAACCTTCATTCTTGTCGTGCTTAATTGGGTGAAGTGCACCAGGTACTGATCCCTTTAGTCCTT